CTTTGCGCCTCACCAACGGGAACTGGCCTTCCGTCCCTACCTCCTCGCTGCGGGTTCCCTCTCTGCCGATCCCCCGACGCGGCGCTCGGTGGGTTAGGTCCCATCCCAGCAGTATGCCCTGGTGTTGCCCTCTCCGGCCTATTGCCGGTGCCCCGACGGACAGTGGGTTCCATTCCTTCACTGTTGCTCGTCTGATCGGCATGTCCATGCTCTCCAGCAACACTACCGACCGCGTTCCTCTCTCTCTCCCTCTCCCTCTGCGCTTTGTTCTCCGCAAGCTCTTGCAACAGCTGAATTCTCTGAGCCCGCTCGTTTGCCACCTCCTCGCATTTGAAGGCGTACAGCTGCGCCATGTACAGACCGACGTTCTTAAGGAACGAGGTACTTGTTTTGTAATATCTGCCCTCATACAGCGCGCTTGTGTATATCCCAATTACATTCTTGAAAGCGTCCTCCGCTTCCAGGTCTACAGACCTAAGCTTTTCCTCCAATTCTTCGTGTAGCCCAGAAACCGCATCCTTGCTCTTTTCCTTGCTCTTTTTCTTGTGACGGCCAGCCTCCCTGGAGCCGGAGTCGGGAGGTGCCGCCTCGTCAGGAAGAAGAGTAGGGGACAGCATGGACGACCCAGAGGCAGGAGTGCCCCTGGGGGTGGGGGTTTGATTCCCCCCGGTCATTGTTACAATGGGGAAGCCAACTAACTTGAGTGTGACTAGTACTACTACTTCTTCGCCAACTGGGCGGTGTTCGGGCGATTTCTGCGTCGCTGACAGGAAGGTGTTCCCCAGCCTTCTTCCATCTGGCCAGATAACTACCGAGTCCTTCAGTTTCACTGACTATGGTGTATGGTATCTAGCTGGCTACTCTAGTGATGATGGTATCCGTATGCTTTGGAGACTCGAATGCAACCAATGGTTACCTGTTGCTGAGAAGGCTCTCTCTAATATCGAGGCTTCAGGCAACGATATGTTCGTGTTCGGCATCAGCGAGGGTGACGTTGTTGTTTTCGATCCGGAGAGTTACAATGCTTATCGTACAATAGCTCTGGCGGATCCTTCTAAGGAATACACGGGAGTCACCTTTGATCAAGACTCGAATATTCTATATGTAACTGAGAAGGCTACTGGGCGGATTGCTCGGTTCATAGGTCAGGGGGGAGTGTGGACTCCAAT